AGACCGGATAGATAAGACTATAATCATAAGTGCATTATTACAATGTAATATTTTATATTATTGAAAACAGAACCATAAATAATAATTAATATATTAGTATTTTATTATCACTATTTTTGTTTTCGGCATTCAGCGTTTTCTACTTTTCTGTGTTTCTTTTAAGTTTTAAATATTTTGAATAGTTGAATTAAAAATTACAGAACCTGAAGCCACCACGTCATATTCAACTAGTTAGCAATTTTCAATAAAACGTTTGTTTTGATTTTTGTTACAAAAATACATGAGTTACACTTAATAAACCTGCCTTCCGAAATTACAAGAAAATAGTGGTAGGCATTAACAAATAATGACCAAGTACTCATGTGAATATCTAAATAAACAAAAAAATTTTAAAAAAATGTAGCGAAAAAGTAGCACGCTACATTTAAACAATAGCGTTAGAAATAGAGCACTACATTTGAAAAAAAGTAGCTTTAGCGATAGCGAGCTACTTTTTTTAGGGAGTAGCAGTAGCGTTAGCGTGCTACAAAAAAACAGTAGCGCCCCGACCACTGCTTATAATAATATATACCTATTTCCTCCCTAAGTACATTTTTAAGGGCTGATTATAAATTACATCAAGACCCCGCGAGTGAGTGGGTATAACGTAAATAATAAAATCTTATTCACACACTAATATAATACCTATATTACTATGTTTGAACCATAACATCGAATGTCACAGAAACTATTTTCGGTGCTATACAGTATTGGAAAAGTAATCTCCTATCACCAACATAATATGAAAGTATAATATTTTTTTTTATGTCAATAAATCGAAATAATATTAAAGTTTGGGTGGCCGATCTTGTGGCGAAAGGCTTGTATACGAATGTCCAATTTATTCGATGAGACAGTAGTGACCAACAAGATTTAGTACCTACAAATAATCTCCTTTTTATGTGTCACATAAATTTAATATACGACCATTCAACGCATTCATACCATAACGTCAAAATCAATGAAATATCTCTATTGGGTAATATTATATATTATATAATTACATTTTTACATATAGATGACACTTTTATATTTTTATTTTTTACTTACGCGGAATAACATGCACTTCAAGATTTTTGCACCTTTTTTTAAACATAATATCCACAAAATCACGGATGTGAAAAAAGTCAGTACCTACTGCTTGCTGATGAAATACAGCTGCAGTATACACTTAAAGTATGTCAAATTAAAAGAATAAAGACTAAAACAAACATTTAGTAGATTCTATAAGTAAAAAGCCAACATTAACATTTATAATTGTATTTTTATATATAGATAGAGAAAAGTGTGCAGTATACCTCCATATGGACAATAATTAATTAAAACGAAACTCTATGGGGCTATTTTAATTGAATATTCTATTATCCAAATAAACCAACACCTCTGCCTGATTTAGTACTTATCTACAGTTAAAATTGAAAAAAAAATTCTAATTGGTGCAGTGTGCAAAATTGCACAAATACCTCTAATTATACGCCTCAATCTATTTAGGTAGTTTAATATAACTATAAATACTGACGTTACTATTGTCCTTCTGACTCGACACTCATTGTAATAAATAAATTAGTTAGAATAAATAATTAGTTCTGATATTCGATGTTGAACATACATGTAACTATATAAGTGGTATTTACTATACGTCTATACTCTATATCTAATTGTAATGGTATTATTGATAACTGTTTGGCGCTCACCTAGATATGACATCACATAACATTATGTAAGTTGATACTTAAATGTTTTTATTCTTTGAATTTATTTAAGTAATTTAATTTTTAGTACTAAAATAACAATTTATACTCGATACTTACTGTATTATCACGGGGGGTTTAAATGTATGTACCATTTTGAAATATTAATTTTAATTTCGATTACATAAGTATATTGAATTTGATTGGGTTAAAATGCTTAAAATTTTTTATTGATTTTATTTATCTTGAGACAGCTAATACATAATTTTGAACGTATTTAGTATTTGCGAATAATGTTATATATAGTAACCAGGATTTTGTAATGATTCTATTACTACAGTAAGTTATCCTTCACTTGTTATTCCCTCGTACGGTTTGCTAATTTGGAAGTTGTGTACACAGTAAAAACGGATAGGTATAATAAAATATTACCAAGTGTTGCACGAGACTATATAAATATACAAGACTTATACTATAGAACGGAATAATTTGAAACGTGACATTCGATTGAAAAACAAGTAAATAACTGTAATACCTTCGTAGTAATGTTTACTTATGGTTTTGAGTCGCAACTCGAGGATGACATGGTGAGCAATGAGCGTAAATTGAATATTTTAGATAAACACAATCGTTATTGTCTTGTACATAATTTATTTATGAGTTGGTTTGCCGTAAATCCTATGCATGCATAAATATTATATATATGGCACAACTTTAGCAGGTAGGTCGGGTTGTCTATGCGTTTATTTACAGAGAGGAAAGAACTTTTTAATGTTTATTTTAATAATGCGGTCTTGTGAGTTGTGATTTTTCGACAAGCCGAACTTTAAATAAGTATTTATATTTTTAGGTCAGTGATGATACATTTTGTAATGTTTAAATTTCAAAATGTCATTGTTATATCATTTTAAACACGTTTTCTAGTATTTTGATATGTGCCGATCAGTTGTTACTCGTTAATGTATGATTGCATATTATACTGATTTCTAAATTGGATTGTCAATGTCCATGTTGGAGGTCGAGTATGGACGTTTTACCTACCTATTCGGAAGCGCTCGTGACACTCGATAAAAAATGGTCGAGAACTCGATTAAAATATTCTGTCAGAGAAAATCCGAATCATACAACTGCAAGAGGACACAATCGGCAACTGCCCAGACTACCTATATTATATCTTGCGACACTGTGATATATATACATATATGTATCTACCAGCTGTCATCTACATATTATTATTAAGCCGGTCATATTTTCTAAAACCGTAGACGCCGCGCCAGTGGCTCACGACAAACAACCCTTCACCCTCCCAGCGACGATTGCATTGTGTTACATATTTTTAAGCATACTGCACAGTTCAAAGGTCATAATTTGCATCCTTACTCTCGGACGGATAGCATTATGGCAAGTATATTGTACATAATATACAAACGATTCAGTGCGTATTCGTGGTATCCCAACCAACGTGGGCGTACCTATATATTTTATTTTATTTATTTTTATTTATTTATTTCAGCAAAATCAATATCATTATTTCAATACAATAATACAATAGTCAATTTACAAAAGTTAAATTACTACCATTAAGGTGATAAGAGCTGATACGTATACCAACTGAGCAAGCTCGTTTCTGGTATACGGAGTTCCTACACATATTACTTATATAATATAATAAAATAAAATGTCATGTGTCTTATACAATTGAGAATGATGTATTTTACTTCTCTAAATAACATTATCTTATAATTATATAACTAAACAATACTAATAGATAATCATTTATATTTACACATAGATACTTTTTAATAATTGATTTTTACACACATTCTCATCTAGGTCATTTACTATTTTAGTAATTATATTTTTTATACGATTTTTGTTAATTATATTTTATACATTGGTTTTATTAGACTGATTTTCACATTCATACTTTATTAGACTCTTTACATAATTTCCTAAATTGTTGAATATAGTTTTGACCATATATATAGGTACATAAACGACCTGTCTGTGCATAATATAATATAAAATATATTATAATAGACTCATTGCGAGTACGACGAAATTATACGTTCCACGCTAACCGGTAGACTGCAACTATTATTATCGTTTTGACGACTGGGGCGGACGTGAACGAATATTATAATATGTACCAGCTAGGTACCTACCTACCTACCTAAACTATATGTTATTATTTATTATGCTATATAGAGTCTATATTATTGTACTGTATACTAATAAATAATTAGTTGAATACAAATATTCAGCCTGTATGATTCGTGTATTATTTTAGTGTTCCGAAAAAGAAACATAATATGCATTTAACCCCTCAAAAGGTAAAACACCAAACAAATAACAATAGACATTATATTATACATTTAGTTGTGTGCGGACCGTACGTACCATTACATACATACATAATATATTTGCTTATGTAGTGTCAATGGTATTGATATAAATGAAAAACATATCATTAAAAAAAAAAAACACAATATACATATACGGCATACGTATGTCATAATATTATTGCAACGATATTGTTTACGACATGAAATTCAGTTACTTTCATATACTATTGTAACGAATTGTAATATTTTATCTTGACGGGCATTATATTCATCAAAAGTATCTAATAATAAAAATCGTTGAAAATTTCAGTTAGGTATATTGTAAGTTCGTAATATAAGTTTTATAATTTTCTCAATTATACAAGATTGACAAGGGAATCAATAATTATTCTGACATGATACTAACATATTTGTATGCAAATTGTATATAGTTCGAAATATTTTTTTTAACGCAACTATATACACCCTTCTGTATGGGATTGAAATGGAGTAACAAGAAAAAACACTAAAACAAAACAGACTACTTCAGTGTATGAAAATACAGCGAAAACATTTTTTTTCAGTCTTCAGTTTTATATTAAGTGTACCTATTTATTATAAAGTGATACTGGGAAAATGTGCTAAACTTTATTAACATGTTAAGGTTTATCTTATTATGATTTTCCTCTATCATTCCGACATTCCATTCCGTTTTAATATGTTTAAATGAATGTACATCATGTGTAGATTAATTGTTAGTTAAAAATATATTTTTTATAATTACAATATTATTATAATACAATATAATTTATATTGGCACAAGTAACGAGATGAACGTGATGGGACTGTGTTCGACGAACGGACCCAAAAGCTTTGCAACTCATTCGCCAAATAAAAACTGGTTGCCAAGTTATTGTTCCAGTACCGGACAAATGCCCCGCGACACATGTTCACCCTAGCTCAGATACTCCAGGATCACGTGCGCGAGCTGATGCCGACGTTTCAGTACGAGGAGTTCTCGAAACGGCCCGACGAGCACGTGGCCAAGGTGTTGCTGGCCAAGAAGACGGGAAACGGAATAGAACCGGATATAGCGTCTTCAACGAAAGGGGATGGCGACGACGCCGCGACTCAAGAGAAGAAATAATGTCCAGTGGTTGTGGTCCGAATTGGAGAGAGCTGACTGTGAGAACAGTACGCTCGTCGAACGATATGACGCCGTCGTGGCCAACGAGTGCCGGACGAAAGCTCGAAGTACAAACCGAACTGAGAGAGGTCCGAAAAAAGTCGGCAAAGCAAGAGGTGTTGTTTGACTGCTCATTAGAAAAATGAGTTTATAATAGTGATGAATTCAGTATAAACACGTACCGGAATGTCGGCTCGGCTCACATCAAGTCCGAATTTTGAAATATACCTAGTATATAATATAATATATAATATTGAAATCTGACTTGATGTGAGCCGTGCCGACATTCCGGTACGTGTTTATACTGAATTAATCACTCTTACAAACTCATTTTTCCAATGTAGCAGTCAATCAACGCCTCTTGCTTGGCGGACTTTTTTCGGACTTCGCTCAGTTCGGTTTGTACTTCGAGCTTTCGCGCTTTTGCCCGGCACTCGTTGGCGATCTTTTTATTGCTGGCCACAACGATGGCCGCCACGACGGCGTCATACCGTTCGACGAGCGTAATGTTCTCACAGTCAGCTCTCTCCACTTCGGACCGCAACCACTGGAGCGCGCACATCAATTTCTTCTGTTGCATCGCGGCGTCGTCACCATCCCCGTTCGTTGAAGCCCCTGTATCCGGTTCCAGTCCATTTCCGGTCTTCTTGGCCAGCAACACCTTGGTCAAGTGCTCGTCGGGCTGTTTCAAGAACTCATCGTACTGAAACGTCGGCATCAGCTCGCGCACGTGATCCTGGAGTATCTGTGCGCGGGTGAGCATCCGCTGCGCAGTGGTCCGGTACCGGAGCAACAGGGCCACCTGTTCCTTGGCCAATGCGTCGCACAACTTTTGCGTCCGTTCGTCGAAAACGGCCCCGGCCGTCCGGCCAAAATTTTCCAGGCACTCGCCGGCCACGCGGCTCAACAGCTTAGAGCCGTCACAAGTCAACGAGCTCGTGGCCGCCACAAACTCCTGCACGGACGTCGTCTTGCAGTCTGTTCGGCACAGCAAATCGGTCAAGGCGGCTGCGGCCGTCGTCGATAGATTTACCGTTGACGACGTGTCAACGTCACTGCAGTAACCACCGCCGGCCGAGGTCCTCCACTTGTCACCGCCGACACACGCGGCCACCGAGTCGACCAGAGACGACCTGCTCTTCGGGTCGGCCATCAGTCCGTCCGGCGGAGGGCTGGTGAACGGTTCTCGGAGGCCTTTGCCGTCGTCACTTTTCAACGCATACTCGAGCAATCGCAAATAGTCTGACTTGGAGTTGCTCGGCTCACCCGTCGTCAATTTCATCACCCAATCGTGTACGTTGGACAAATGCACCGGGTCCTTAATCTTGTACAGCAAGCTGGTTATCTGGTCGATGCACCGACTGTCTGCACCGTTATACTTGCACTTGTCCAAATTCATCTCGTTATTTATATTCGTAAAATTCTTTAATAAACGCACTAAATTTTCAGTAAAATTGTTTGTATTTGTTTTTGATGTATGTCGGGTTTTGTTTTAATTTCTTGTTGAATATGATTTATATGACGACGATATAGTATGATTGTTTATTTTGGTTATTTCGACGGTAATTATAATTGTTGCTCAAAGCAGCTGATGCGAGTTGGTAAACTATACTAGTGTAATATGAACAAAGATATTTATATTTTCAACCTATTTATATTTTTCATTAACCAACATTATAATGTTAGTAGAGTATAAAATATGATAATCTATTATTGGAAAGAAAAATATAGGTACATATTTAATAAAAAGAAACTTTTATAATATTATACAAGGAAATTACGTACAGAATCAAAATAATAATGTATATAAAGTATAATAAAACGTATTTCGTTATAGAGGAATGTTACAACTTACAGGTACATATAAATTATAATGCAGATGGAAGTTTCAATTTGAATACTCTCGACAAATTATTTTCTTTTCGTCTGAACAGTTTGAAATTTGAATTATACACTACACGAAATAACACAAATATTATAATATTATACTTCACGGATTCTTAATTGCACATGAATATTACAGGATTTTGGCATTAGTTGTATACATAAATATGTGAAAACTACCCCAATACTTTGCGCAGATGGTATAACTATTAGTAGTGTCTAGAAGATTTTTTACATTACCTAGGAGGCTAGGTATAAGAAAAGTTGTATATCAAGTGTTATAATATAGTTATATAATATAAGTATTCTAACATCTTAAATACATAATTATCAGAAAAGAACCTACCTACCATTAGTGGAATAATGAACAGTTACTACATTGCTATATTATTTATTACCATAATTATATATAGGTATTATATAATAGTTAATTATGTATGTAACTAATTTAATTGTTTCGTACAATAGACTAGTCAACTTTATAATATAACAATGAAAATATAATAATTTCACTATATTCACACAAATCATTTTTTTCGTACAGTACCTATACCTACTTATACAAATTGTATACTGTGTAGTTTTATATCTTGTTTCTTCTATAATAAATGAGTGCAGGGTGTTACTTTTAGGTAGCTACTACCTATAACTATTTATATAGTTAAATAATATAATTTTTCAAATCGATAAATTAATGAGTATTTAAATCAGAATTATTCTAGTTCAGTCAATTCCTGGTTCCTAGTTTCTACATCCTACAGAAAAACAGTAATAATTATATTATTGTTTTAATAACCTTTAGTTTAGAGTTAGGTAATTATGTATTATTAATGTTGTTTTTGTTATTGACACTTAAATACTTTGAAGTTCCGAGTTCAACTTGGAGTAATGCTTCAGAGTACCGTCGTTAACAGCATATTATTATAACTTCAAAGAAGACCGTGATTTTATTAGCGCAGGAAATTAAACTCATACGTTTTGTTCAAATATAATTTATAATATGTTTAATATTTTTAATGTTTAAATATTCCGTCTTACGTATATTACTGTACATATAATACCAGTATAGGCCACAGCCCACAAGTACTTGTGCATATAATATACTATTATAGGTGGTCGTATAATATGATGTTGATATAATATTATAATTTTGAGACTCGTTAAAAGTAAAAACTAAAAATGTGCAAACATTGTTTTACTATTATACTAGTACATTTGTACATTAACGGAGTTTTGTTTTCTGAATTTATAACATTGAAAATGTGTGCCGATCAGATGGATATGACTGTCTGTGGCCGGAAAACGAACATCAATGGAGCTAGATAGTAGATTCAATGTGTTAGCGAGCATCAGTTGTAATTGAATTGGACGAGAAACGTTTGGTCGAAAACAAATATAATTGACACGAATTCCAGATTCCTGTAAAAGCAAAATAATATGAACATATTGTCACACGCGGTAGACGCACGCCTGAATGACCCTAGATGTACGTGACAAAGCCGGAAAGTTTGAAGCCTTCAATAACGATTTTGATTAGGATATATTTTGAGCGAAAGATGGGATCTTAAAGTTACAGTTTCTACCCGTTTCATTAAAGGAAATATGTGAATTTTATTTGAATTCCGTAGACGAGTTGATTATACTAAAATCGTAATGATATAACTACAACCGAAAATCTAAAACCTATTATTTTGTTGTTATTATTATTATTCTTATTATTATCATCATCATCATTGTCGCTGGGATGGAGTCGTCGTTACAATAGTATATAATATAATACACGAATAGATACGAAATTTATTACCAGTACAGAATAATGGTAAATCTAATTGCAAAATAATATTAGATCGTAGCACAAATGGTCGACGTCGACAATCAACGGTTAAAATATATTATTATGGCTATGAGCGAGAACAGTAGTGGTCAGCGGAGGGTGGGGCTGCAGAAAAATCGAATAAAGGCGCGGAATGCATAAAAATGTGTTTCGCCCTGCTGGGCAAAACCGACGCACGTTCTAGTTACGAAATGAAAACAAAATATACTCACCTCTAGAATAATTAGCAACTACACAGTACACATTATCTCACATCACACCCACACACCCACACGATAAAGTTTTAGGTACAACCTAAGTTCTTAGATTCACCGCTTGTAATCGTACAAAACACCTTTTACACACTGGGCCAAACAGTGTCAGTCCGTCGCCAAATTCGTTGTCCAGGTAAAAACTGTATACAAAATCATAATTTTTGGCCTATGCCCTCAGTCGGTTATAATAATTATGTTATATTATCACAGTATACGTCATAGTTTTAATACATATCATAGCAAAACCATTTAAACCTATTGTATTATTATAATATATCTAATATAATTATCTACTTTTTTTTTTTTTTATTTATATTTATACCCTCGGCAACATGGGCCATTGGGCTTACAGAGAGGGGATTATAGATACATAATATTATTTACTAAATCTAATTATGCTAAATTTTGGTTTGAAGATTGGCGGCTGCGATGAATTTGATGATGTTGACTATGGATTGAGGGTGGTTGCTTAATATTTCGGAGAGTGATTCGGGCAGGTTGTGGCTGGTTCGGGCATTGTGGTATGTTTGGCATTCGGTGAGGATGTGACTGATGGTGACTTGGACACCACAGGATGGGCACATGGGTGGTTCTTCCTTGGCCATTAGGAAACTGTGAGAGATTTTCGTATGTCCAATTCTGAGTCTGGTTATTATGACTTCGAATTTCCTGTGGATTTCGATAGGAAATGTCCAATTGACGGTGTTGTGTTTTATACGATTTAATTTTGTGTAATAAGAAGTCCACCTCTGATGCCATGTTTGTTGACATTTCTTTGTTATAAGTGATCGTATGTCGCTGGAAGAGATTATTTGTGAGGACGTTGATAGTGGAGAGGAGATTGCAGATTTGGCGGCGAGATCAGCTAGTTCGTTTTCTATTATGCTCGAATGTCCGGGGATCCAGAAGAGTTTGATTTTGAAATTATTATGGTATTGTAAAGTGTGGATTTTATTCTGAATATGTAGGCCGATGTCTGATGGGTTATA